CCACTAATTGTGTGTCCTCCATGTCCTAAGACCTCAAAACAAGACCCCAGTTTCTGATTTGCAGAAGTGTTTAAGTACTCACAGCTACAGGTGTAATGAGAGACATCTATGACTAGGTGTCCCTGGAAGGTGTTATAAGGCTTTGGACTTCTCTTACTGGGTGCCTTGCCCCCACGCAACGTTAGGGTGAGGTTTGAGCTCGGATGCCACCTGGGTAGTATGGGTGCTGCCCTTTACTCACCTGCCATGAATTCTATGTTCTTGTTGGGGAGGCAGTTCCCTTCAGGTGGCCCCCAAGGATGATGATACCTCAATTCCTGTTCTTGCTTCGTGGGGCTCCAAACCTTCCCTTTACCCCACCCTTATCACATCCATGGCCAGGATGGATACTATCCTCTGCAGGCGCCCCCTTGGATGACTTCCCCTCTTCGCACAACTTGCCCACCTGCAAGTAGGTTGGGCCTTCCTGGTCAGTTTGCCCTTCACCACAGCTGGTTCTTTGACTTCAGGACAGTTAGTGCATATAAGCCAGCCCTGTCTTGGGCTAGCCAGGGCTTCCGGTAAAAATTGACACAAATAAACACCAGATTTCCACCGGAGGGCCCCCCTGGGATCTCGTCTCTCAGTGCCCCTTTTATAGGCCAAAGGAACAAAGAGACTTGAAGGAACAGATGAGGAACCCTCTTGTCCATGCGCCCCGAGTGACTGGGAGTGGGCCACCATTCCGTGCCCCACCCTGGTCCGGCTCCTCAGTTTGGCCAGCACTGGCCCCCAGCTGACCTGGAGTCGCTCCTGGTCTTCCCCGGCTTGGAAGGGTGTGTGGTTCCCACGCTGGGTTCCTCATGCCTCCTCACCATGCCTCCCATGTGGGGTAACTGCTCCCTGCCAGTGCCTCCCGCATCCTGTGCCAGGGTCCTTGGTTCCCAGCCCCCTTGCCTTCAGCTGGGTAATCCTCTTCCTTACTTCTGGCATCTCTGGGTTGATGTCCTCTCTTCCCTCTGCCAGAGTCTCTGGGTCAGTTTCCTCTTCTACCTCCTGCAGCATCTCTAGGTTGGCGTCTTCTTCTTCCTCCCCCAGCATCTCTGGGTCGGTGTTCTCTTTTTTCCCCGCCAGTGTCTCCGGGTCGGTGTTCCTTCCTCCTGCCATTCGCCACCACTCAGCTATTTTCCTGGCTGCTATTTGAGCAGCTCGTGGTTTCCAGAGGCTTCACCCATGTCCCTCGCTGATCTGCAGCTGTAGGCAGCTCCGGAATTGCAGGGCCACCACCCACGATTCCTCCTGGCTGCTGCTCTTCAGGATCCCTATAGTGAGTACCAGGGTGCATGGGGTGGGGGTCTGGGACCCCTTAGAGAGGCTTTCACTGCCCCTCTCACACTAGGTGTGTAAAGGGGTATACCAGAGGTGGCCAACCTGCAGCAGAGGTGCCACAAGTGGCATGGGCCACCTCTGTCTGGCATGCAGTAGATTTGGGGTGAGAAGCAGGGGACAATAAACTCAGCTAACAGATCAGGAAGCAGAAGGCAAAATAGCAAATTAGGCATGGAGCACAAGTCTGAGAGCAGAAATTAAAGCAGCAAATTGAGCAGGGTAAGGAGATTAGAGTAGCACTTGGGGAGGGCACAAGGCTAATTTGTGGTATGCCTGCCAAAAAGTTTTGCCCCCACTAAGCTATACAATGCGAACATATGAAAAATGCACTCCTAGGTATTATTATGCATTCTAAATGAGTTCATTCTTCTAACTTTCTCTGTGGCTCAAATTTCTATCTGTAAAATAGGGATAAAACACAAGGGTATTTCAAAGAGAAAATTATTGTATTTGAAGTATTCTGATACCATAGTGAGAATCATTATAGAAAAGTTTATGAAGCAATTATTTAAAATGTCTTCAGGGTATTTATATACTGCCCTCCCCCTGGGCCAGACTTCATTCTCTTATTGAGGGATAGCCAAAGAAGAAAAGGGATACTGCTCAAGTACAGTGCCAGGCAATGCCATACTGAGATACACTGCATACATTTTGCACACACTAGGTGCATCTACATGTGAAATTTGTGCACCTGAATAAACTCCGGCACAGCTCACACCAGAGTCTAATGCTCCTGGGTGCAGTGTCTTCATGTGTTCCTGGGACCACAACAATTGTAGCTGGGGCAGTCCTACATATGAGAAGATGTTGCACCTGGGAGCAGCTGACCTGGAACAGGGCTCCCAGGGGTTAGGCTACAGGTGGCCCATGTCAGAGCTGACTGGGGCACAAGGGAGCTACAGTGAGGGGGTAGCTGGTAGGCAGCCCCCACATCCTAGACCGTCATGCCTCAGCCATCTCCAGTCACAGTCTACATATGCATTTAGGCACACGTAAGTACTCCGGGGTAGGATAGTACTTGTCCTATGCAGTACTATCCTATAGCAGAGTTCATTAGTTTACTGTGCTCTAATACAGACTGTGATACTTTACTGCAGAGCTAATTAGTCAAACCTGCAGTAATGTGCACATGTAGATAAACCCATTTTCTCCAAATTCAAAAGCAGTATAAACCATCTTGGTGAGTTTTACATGTATACCAGTGCATTCTGCCTATTAACCACATGGTATGCAAAATTGCTGAAGTGATATGAAAGGGTTCTATGACATTTTCTGCTTTAGAGCCTCAGTCCCTATCCTGTGAGCTGATGTGGAGCCAGACAACCTCTTGGCTGGCTCTGCTATTGCCCACAGTCTTTTTAAGGGACTCCTGATGGCCTATAGTGAAACCCCAGGTTTTCACAGAACACAGTTTGAAAACCACTGAACTACCCCAAAAGTGGCTATGCTACACCCAGGTCAGGAAGTTGCACATGTAGAGCAAATATGTTCTCTCTCAGTATGGCACTGCCTAGCACCATGGCAATGGTACAGGCATTGTCCTCAGTGTAGGGTTGAGCACTAAGCATTACTATTTTACAAGTTTACACACACTGAAAAATGTGTGGGAGATAAAATATATATTTAGTACCTTCGCATTAAGTAAACATATCTCATTCTGCAAGGAAAATAATATAGTATGTTAAAATATATTTAAAGGTATAACACCTATGTACAAGGGGCTATATTAAGATTGTACAATCATTGTAATTGGTAATTCCATTCCTATGTTTGGAATATCTGAGTACTTGACTGCAGTTTCACTATTTTACATGTGTGTGTGTGATGTGTGTGTGTTTGTGTGTGCGTATGCACACCCACATATTTTTTACACGCAAACACAATACCCCCACACACACATTATTTGTGTATGGCTACACATACATAAAATGATACATACACATAAACACACAAACAAACATACTTAAGATGGCATCAGTTTTAAATGGAACAATAAAAAAGAAAACCAAGATAGATTATTTCTTTGCCTTATGTATAAGAATACTGAAAATCTATATCCAACTTCTATCCACAATTTTTTTCCTTGTATCTAACCATGAACTTGCAGAAGAACTGGGACTGTTCAAAGACAACAGGATTCATTTAAAACACACAAAGTCTACCACAACATGTACAAAATCTTGTGAGATTCTAACTTCAACAGTCTAAAGTATAAAAGTTATGCTCTGTTCTGCTAACCTATCATGCTCTTCATCACAAAGTACTGTAGGACTGTGTAGAAACAATACTGCCTCTGCTCCTATAAAAAAAAAAAAAAAAAATCACTTCCTCCTCCTAAGAGCACTTGTCTTCAGAAGAATGACATAAACAATCCTAGTTAAAAACAGCACTCAAGAAAACACTATAACTAACTTCAGAGTACTGTCTGTCTCCAAGGAATGGGAGAAAAGTCAGATTAATATAACATTATAAGAAGGCTCATCTACACATGGAATTAATGTAATTGAATGATATACTCCACTGTCAGATAGCACCTAGCATCTAACTATCTGACGATGCTGTAAATTAGTTTACACTGGCCCAATTGCTGTGCATGTGTAGACTGCTTTACTGAGCAGTAAATTAATCTACAGTGCAGTAAAGTGCATGTGTAGATGTGCCCAGAGAGATTGGTGTAAATGCCTTACTAGGAGGTGCAGTAGCAGAATGGCTGTCACAATCAAATGTTCAATACAAAGCACATTTCTAAGGAGAGATGTAGTGATCACAAATTGAAAGTTAGAAGTGAGGTCAAACCTGAGCAAGAGTTCTGGATCCATTCCTTCCCAGGCTCTCTGGAAGTACAAATCTAAACTCCGATCAAAATCAAATGTTTTACTGCTTGGGCCATATTCCATATTTGGCTCACAGCAGATTCAAATTTAAATTCAAATTTATATTTGAATCTAGAATGAAGCTATGCAGCAGGGGTATTTACTTATTGGGAACAGAAAACCAAGCTAATCCATAACTAATATTACAGGTGACAAACCGAAATAAAATGCGAGACATCATAAAGTACAAAGAAACGGGCAAATATATATATGGTACAAGCAGTTAGAAATTCTCTGTTACTGAGGTGGAGATCTTAATATCAGAACCAGATTTTTATTTCCATTAAGTTTACAACATAAAAACTTTTTGCAGATGTGTTATTCACTTAATCTAATGTCTACATATTATATTGTAACATTTTATAAAGCAGCATTTAAATGCATTTAATTATTTAAAGAACACCATGAATCTGTTTTCCTCCCTTGCGATTGCACATAAAAAATACTACCACTTTCATCAGTTTCAACATTCTACTTCTGTCTCCCCTCCTATTATTCCGTCCAATCTTCATCTTACAATCTCTTTCCCCTCCCTCCATTGCTTCATTAATTCTTTCATTATTTGTTGTACTTAAACTTAGTTTCCTCCCATTTCATCTCATCTTTCCTACTGTTTTTCTGCTTCTATGACTTCACTCCAATTTGTATTTCCTCTATATCATGCCTCAACCATCATTCTTACCTCTTTTTTCTGCTACTTTCCATTAATTTCCCACAAAACCCCCTTTTCCAAGCATCCCCTGTCCTTAACTTACTCACCCATATACTTCAGCCCTCTCTCCTAGTTCTCCATTTCTTCTTCATTCTTCATGATGACAAAACTTCATTTTTCATTATTCACACTTTCTTCATTCACTTGTCCCTCTTAGCATTACCATCAGTCCTCCTCATGTGCTGTTCTCTCCACTCCTACCTGACATCCAGTCAGTAAGGGATGGTTTACCTGGGGAAGAGAGGAATGGATTTTCTGAGAAGAGCAAGAAAAACATCCATGAGCTACAAGGGGCAGAGATGTTTGATATATATAAACATGCATAAGAGTTCACTGAATTTTCATGCATTCAGATTTTCTGCACTGGATCTCAGTTTTTTGCTTTGCAATGCACAACACACACACTTGATCAGAAAACTTATTAGCAAGTCTCCTTCAGAAAGTTTCAGGAGCCATAGAACAATTTCTCTTTTTAACCTCAAGAAGTAAAAAGCAAAGCTAGTTTTCTCCCTAATGAGGACAGGCACGGTTGGATTAAACGATTAATTTATTACTTAAGCCTTGCTGACATTTCCCCACTACACATCTTGACAGTCCTTTCTGTGAACTTACCATCACCTTCGCAAGTTTCCCCTGGGGACCGATATTATCATAATGGGAAGCAAGAAGTGAATACCAACAACAGAGAAAATTAAAATTAAAATCTCCAATTGATCCAGTGTGAGGCCTGACTATACTGACAGCCCATCTGGTCTCAAATATCTCAGCCCTTCAGAAACGCAAGCAGAACTGAATGTGATGCTACCTGTATTCTCCTCCTCTCCTTTTTAATTACATTATTTTAAAATGTTTTCCCCTACTGATTTAGCTGAATGATACAGTTGATCATTTAATGATCTGGAAGCTGTCCAGCATCCCTCCCTGTTTTCTGTTGAAAAGTTTAATCCCATTTTCATATATGATGTGGCTAGAGCTCAAAGCAAAACTAAAATGCAGAAAAACAAAAAGGAAAATAAAGAAAGTGTTCATTAAGGATGTTTTAGGCCATGGTTTTGCCTGTTATTTGCTTCCCCTCCCAAACGTCCATCTGTCCTCCTCTGTGGTGGAGGTATGAATTCAACACTGACTTTTATTAAAAATTTCTCTAAAGGTAAAGAAAACTTTTAATAAAAATATCAGTTTGACACTATAAAATCCACTGTTTTCATCACTAAGCAAAATGCATACAACTTCCTGTTAAATTTATTTCCCTTTGCAAAGAATTCAACAGTACAACACTGGGAGACAACAGCTAACTAAACCCTTGACCTAACGTATTCCCTTCAGACATCTTGACGAGTTGTCAGTTGTTGAATTAAAAGAAACATGGCCTAACTTCTTGTCTCACTATATTGCAATGGAGCTTTAGCAATGTTTTATGTCAAAATCAATACTTTACAAATTCTGACATATAGCTAAATTTATGCAACTTTTCAATTTGCAGTGGCTTTATATTATTATTATGTTCATGACTGACTCACAACTAAGAATGGGGACCAGTTGTGCTCAGCACCGTACAAAAAAGAGTAGCAAAGCATCTCTAAGTCAAAATGCTGACACTAAAGAATCAAGACAGACACAGTTAGGGAAAATGTAGAATATGTTAGAAGACTGAACGGTGGGATTGGTGTAAAAATTTGATGTTAGCATCACATCTTTTGAAGGTGGGTTTAGTTTGAAGGGGACAAACTAAATTGGAACAGAAGTAAAGAAAGAGGACATTGAAGGGAAAGATATAAAGAGAACGGGGCAGGGGAGAAAACAGTAACAGCTGCTGGCATGGGCTGAAGCTCAGGTGAAAGTTATGAAGGAGGGCTGGAGTCAATCGGCATAGAATAGTGAAAGCCCAGCCAAAACTGTAGACAGTTCTCTGAATGTTCAGAGGTTTGTAGAACAGTGATGCCTGATAATGACATGTGCCCACAGGAGTCACTGAACAGTCACATTTGTGATTTAAATTGCAATGCAGAAAGCACCCAGGATGCCCCCTGTCTGCAGGTTCAAAACAGGCAAAGGAAATCCATGAGAACCTGCTCAACCCTCATAGACTCCCTGAGCATTTCGTGTGTGTGCTCAGCAATGGTCATGTAGAATTCTTCAACCTCTGCATGCTACCTGGCAAAACACATAGCAGTGAAAAATAACTTTCTTTATCCTATTTCTGATCTTTGTCAGACACTGGTAGTGGTACATTCTCTCTTTCGCCCTCTGTCATTTGGCTTCTGTGACATAGTAGTGGTTGGTCTAGACCACAGAAGCTGGGATGCCCATCTTTGTGTGGGCACTGGTTTTCCTTTTCCCTGGAAGCTTTCTGGGCACCTGTCTCTGACTGCATCCACTTTCTGGTCCCAAGGTGCCATCACAACTATTTGTAGGTGTTCATCTTGAAAGTAGAGGAGGATGAACAGGATTTCATTTTTTTAAAATTTGCTGTTACCTTGATAGTATGAAGAACTCCCAATCAACAGTTTCAGCTTGCTGATCAGTGGACAGGCTTCTTCACCCGAAAACTCTCAACATGACAAGTGCACTCTCCCCTATGCTTCCTAAAGAGCCAAGGAAGTGGGAGTTACGTGGCCATGCTTGAGAAGCCATCAAGCAGCTACAGGGTACTTCAAGGACTTGTTGTACAATTAGGGCCCGTGATCACAGAATTTGTGAAACACAGCAGGCCAGTCAGGATGAGGGAGTCTGTGGAGCATGATCTGTTGACTTAAGACATCCTAATTCCCCTTGTCTATAACTGCATGGCCCCCAAACCCTGATCCATCTCATTCTGTAGTGGAATCAGCACTTATCCATTGATGTGAGGGAATCCAATGGTCTTTGCTTGCCTCTTACTGCAAGAGATGGTGGTCCCTGGTGACTTTGACTTGTGGAGAGGACAAGTATACTAAGATGGGTCGCCATTGCATTTGGCTCTGGCCTGAAATGTCAGGGAATGCCTAATGATGTACTTTACCCTCCACTATGAAAGTCAGACTGGGATGCCATGAGCAGGACCATCAATCCATCACTAACTTAACTATCAACTAATAAATGACAAAGGCTGAAGACAGGTGGCCACTTCACTGTTGGAAGCACATGGCATGCAAAAGGAGCAGGCATCTCCCTGCCCTGCTTATTTCTGCCTTATGGAGATTAGCAGACTATTCTTGTGAAGAGTGCATAACCCTATGAAATTTGTAGTGTATTGAAGGATCATGATCAGGACCCCAAAAACCTTTAATGGGTTTTCTGCCACCTTCTCCCCTCCACAACCCTGCATAGCGTCAGTACTCCTAGTCCACCCCATAACCCATTGTGAAATGGCCCTGGATGTGACAAACTGAGTTGGGAACCAGATGGAGGGAACCAGATGGAGCTCAGACTGCTTTCCAGGGCTGGCACCATCATTTAGAAGAGTCTAAGACAGTACAACCACGGTTTACAGGGAAACCTGAACTGCCACAGTTATCTGCACTGTTAGACCTAACAGCAGACCTGATGATTCAAAAACTGTTTGTTTTCTCATTTCCTTGCTAACTGACTTGCAACATGTTGCCTGTAATAAAGTGTCCTTTATCTACCTTTAATGACTTGTTTTCATAGGAGTGAAGGTCATTGATGATACTTTCTCAGAGCAGGAGCCAAGGTAAAAAGCTGAAGGGGATGGGAAAGTGAGTATTCCTATTGTGTTTCTGGTAACGGGAGAAATGAGGCATTAGGTTTAAGTTAATTGACCATTTAACTGAGTGGGACTCATAAAACAATGAAGGTTAACAATGTCATAGTGACACCACTACAAAAACAATGTTGGTTCCTTTAAATTACCTACTTTGTTTAAAGTTGTACCTATTAACACATCACACTTTCAAGGGGGATGGGAGTAAAGGGGGTATGGCAGGACAGTCCCTAAGCACAGCTATGCAGGTCCAGTGCAGCCCCAAACTGCAATTCTGCAGGGGGTTGAGGAAAGGCAGGAGGGAGTCACATTTCAGCCACTGCCAGGGGTCCAGCAAGTCACTGAGAACTCCAGCTCCTCACCCAACTATTACCATAACCTGACCTCCCCTAAGCCAACCCTAACAGTGATACTTACTATCCCCACTGTTCTCTCATGGTCTAGTAACTCTGGGGCACCAATCCATGTTGGGAGATGGCTGGCTGGGATGTTGAACACTGGGGGAGGGCAAGAAGTTCCAGACTCTCAGGCTATGGACAGAAGTTACACATAAACTGGTTTAAGTGATCAGAAAATAGTTTAAACCTGTAACAGAATAGAAATTCAGTGCACATAAACCTGTTTCAAAATGGCTGAAACTAGTTTAAGATAAACATAGTTGAATGTAGTATCAGACTTACTTGGGTGAAACTGGTTTATGAAACTTCTGTCCCAGACCCCTTCCTGGTTCAAATTAAATTACAGCCCAGCATGCTTTCCAGACTTGGGACTATGCTGTCTGTTCCAGAGAGCAGGGCTGTCCCCACCCCTCTGCTCCCTAGCTGGAGCATTGCAAACTGGCTGACAATGGGGTGGGGAGGGTCCAAGCCCAGCTAGGGATGCAGCCCAATCTATGGGGGAGAATTCCTTCCCCAGGCAAACCACAACTGGGTTTTGGGGTCAGGGAGGGGGGTTAAAACCCCTTCTCCCACTCAAATTTACTGCTGGCTGCAACTGTGGATTACAAATCTCAGAGGCACCTGGAAGCAAGAAGAGGAAATGATGAGCAACCCTGCACAGTCTTGCTTCTGTAATTCTGGACTGCAAATTCCAGAGGCCTCAGGGGCAGCAGGAAGAGGCAGTGAACACACAGCCAGAGAGCTGTGTTCGAGCACTGCCCCCCTCCCCCCCCCCAACTTCTGGCCTGAACCACTGTAGGCATATGGCTACATTTCCCAAATCAAAAGGTAAAGGTCTGTTCACTTCTGTTTCAATTTAATCTGTACATCTTGGACTAACCTGCACTTCAGAGTTCTCATTGCTATCCTGGGCAGCATGGGACACTGTGTTCACCACGTTTTTAGATATGACCATGTCATTTACAGCAAAGATGTAGGACAGTTCCTCACAATGGGTGCACATAACCCTGCATGTGCCTAACATGTGGTTGCTGTATGTGTCTTTGCAAACCGCCGCTTTAATACCTTGCAGTTGGACTGACGCTGGGCCCAGGCATGACATGTCCCCAGCTGCCATTTTCTCTGTAATCCATTCATAGACCACCTTGTTTTGGTGGCTTGACCAGAGCACCCTCTGATTCCTGATGTCACAACAGAAGGTATTGTCATCCACTACTTTCTCTCTGGTCCACTTGTTAACTGTACTAGAGTTACTAGACTGAGGGGCCATGGTGCAAGGAGGATGGATGGATTTGTGAGGGCATGGGGATCTAAACTCACCTTGGTGGGTGGTGCATGGGTCTGATTGGTTTTCCACAACAGCTGGATGGTTTGGTCAATGAAGGTTCCTGTTGGTTGGTGGTATTTGTAGTTCCTTCGGTGAGTGTAGGTTCCAACACTGTTTGTGGAGAAAAATCAGGTGATTTGGAAAATATAATTATTTGTCATTCACTGGACCTTTATTAAATGTTCAAAGAAATATGAATTATAAAGGAGGAAAATATAGAATTTCATTGTTATGAATGCCATCTAACATAAGGATTGCATCATAAAATGTCTTTTCTCTGTGACAATAAAATGAATGGTGAAAAGGGACTGTGCAAATCCTGAACAAAGCAAAAGTCCTAACTTAAAAGAAAAAAAGAATATTCTGTAGATTATTTCCTCCTATTAATCAGATTTTAGCTTTTTATCCTGCTAATTGGTATGACTTAATGAGTTCTTTTAGCCACTTCAAAATGTGTATCCAAAGTCCTCATTAGGAAAGCCTTCCATAAAGAATGTTTTCTGGTAAGCTTTTTGCAGTTATGTGTAGGTATGAAGTAAGTATACATCAAAGAATATCACGTACCAAATATCTGAAAACCAAAGTAATTGTAAAATTTTACTTCAAAATATCTACACAGTTGGTTTCTAAAAAAGAGATGAGAAATTAAAGACTTACCGAATAATATATACTATCATTAAAGACAAGGACAAAATTCCTGTTGATATCAATAAACCCCCAAATTAGCCCAAAGCACTATTTAAGAAACAGAAATCATTGTAGACAAAACTAGCAAAAAGAAAATAGAAGTGGCTGGGTAGACAGTACTACAACTTCATTTTTACTTGAAGACATTGGACTTTGGTCTTCTATTTTGTCTGATATAATTATATGCGCTGATATAAAGGAATAAAATTCCTTTAGTGTAGTAGGAGGATTTTATCCTATTCTCCTATCTAATCAACTGGCCTTAACAGATCTCCTGACACACAGGATATATAGATAGGATATATCTATATATATGGAAGCACTTGTTTAGCAAATTTTATGGAATAAATGTTAATATAGATACCATGGATCTTTTTCCCTGACTACATTTAAAAGGTACAATGTTTTAACACTCACTGAAGAAGGGAAATGAGCTTTAAAAACAGAAAACAGAGGGCTTAAAATAAAGGCAAAGGATTAAAATCAGGAACATGTTAAAGAACAGCATATATCACAGGGATTCAAGTCCCCCATGAGAACCAGGGCTGGTGAACAAGAAACTTCTGCTAGCTGTTTGAAGAAAGCCTCAGGTAGCTCATATTTCTTTTCTAGGGGTATATAGTCACCCCCCACCATGACATCACCCTTGTTGCTCTCCCCTCTGACCCTAACCCAGAGACTTTCAGCAGATCATTTTCCAGTTTTATACTGGAGCTCTGAGCAATCATACTGCTCTTTTATGTAAAGCACAACTCCTCCTCCTCTTTCCCCCTGCCTGCCCTTCATGATCAGTTTATACCTATCCATGACAGTACTCTGATCATACAAGCTAACCCAATAAGTCTCTGTTATTCCAACCACATCATAGTTCCATGATTATGCAAGGACCTCCAGTTCTTCCCACTTGTTTCCCAAGCTCCATGCATACGTGTACAGGCACTAGAAGTAACTAGCTTTTTGCCCTGCTTTCTCAGGAAGACTGAGAAGGCCTCCCCTGTTGCTTCCCTCCTCCTTGTGCCTCCTACAGGTTGCCCAGTTGCCCACTTACCTCAGGGCTTAATCTGAAGTATTTAAGTGGAATCTAAGAGATGCTTTGTCAAAACAACCAGGCAGACTGTGAGAAAAAATAATTACATCTCTCCACCTAAAAGCAGGTCACAGTGCTGAAATACCACTTCTGTGCAGGTACTACTATAGCACATAGGCCACGTTGGTAAGTCTTACTAATCTATAAACTTTAAGCATAATTTTATATTAATCTAATTACCATTCTTGCAAGCCATTTTCCTCCCTTCCCCTCCCATTCTTCTTCTTTTTGCACTAAACTATTCACTACATGTATAGAGCTTAAGTCAATTTAATGCCAAGAAATTCAGGTGGCCATTTCACCCGCTCCCCTCATTTAAAGGTACTATGTGGTCTGGCAGCATTAAAAACACATTCCAGTTTTCCTTTAAGTCAGTAGATTTTACCCATTGTGAAAGTTTATACTGTAGCTAAACATACTATAGAATGCAAGAACAAATTAGGAAGAATTTGTGGTTTCCCACACATTAAAATCTCACTCACGTAAGGTCATATTTTAGTCTTTGTTAAATGAATGAGTTACCAGAATTTTAATGACTAATATATTCTGAGGATGATGGCAATGTACCATAGGATCTTGACCTTTTCAATAGTCTCTGTTTTGATTGAGTGGATGCCCCATTCTGCTTTTACAGTCAGTCTGAAAGAAATACAGGGGGAAGAAGCGAAGAAAGGAAATGACGAAGAAAGAAAATGACCATCTGATCAATATCAGAATAATGAAAAGGTCAAAGTATATGATAAAAATGTACATAATAAGTTATATATTATAGTTCTAGTACTTTATTTTCTAAATAAATTATGTAATCTGAAGATAAATATGAGGAGGTCAACCAATTTTCGTATGTACATAAACAAGATGAGAATGTTTTGTCTTCAGGAGCTTTCCAACAGGACTGGGTGACATGAGATCATGGATATTTTTTCCAACATACTTAAAAGGTTTCTTTCCAATACAAAATTGAAAGGTGAACACACTCATTTTTAGGTCCTCTGATTAGCAGAATGTGAAAGGGCAGAGTGGCCTGTTTATAATTTATTGTTCATTATCAGAAATGATAAATACCAGAAAACCTGTGTAGCTGGCCAGTGACTGTCATCCTCCCCTGAGGTCCCTTCCAATCCCAGTGCTCTGGGGGAGGGACAGAAAAACAGCATAAAAAGCATTGTTTGTACTGAGCTTCCTCTGTGATTTGATGTCAGCTTACTGACCTGTGTCTTCAAGCAGCTCAGCAGCATCAGAAAGGCTATCACTTCCTACTTGCTAGCCTGTTCCTAGCAAGTAGGCTCCAATCCCTTTTCCTTTCCTAATACCCTTTATTATTATATTAATTCCTTTTAATTTATTCCTTCCCAAAAATCCTCTTTTTTTTCGTTAGTCTATTTTGATTCTTTTTCCCCAGAAAACAAATTTGTGCTTTGTCTCACAGTGTGCATACCATTCACTGTGCAGAAGAGCACAGCATATATTGCATATTATAATACACAACGTATACAGGAACACCTACATACATTTATATTTTATTTATTACATAAATATATACATACAATTATCTACATATATTACATAAATACATATTACATTACAGAAGAACACAAAGATTTTCCAGCACACCAAACACACTATGAAGCGTGCTGGAAAGGCAGCTTGCAAGCAGTTAGGGAGGGACGGACGAGAGGTACAGGCGGAGCTGTAAGTTCCCGCCCCTCCCTCCCCAACTGAGATGCAGTCTCTTTCCTACAACTAGTAGGCATGAGGTTTCTGGTTCTACTGGCAGCAAGGAGAGGGGAACAGTGCTACTGCCTGCATCTGCATGCCCTCCAATAGCACCAGCCATACCCCCCACACCATGACAACAAGCAGAACCAGCATGACAGTCTCCTCCACTACCATTTCACTTCTTAGCCTGAACCTTCTAGTGCCATAGGAAGACCTGGAGGAAGAGCTGGAGCTGGATATGAGTGCAATAGTGAAGGAAATTCTGGGAAAGGAGAGAGAATCAGCTGAGTTTGTGCTCCGCACACCTCAAGTTTCCCTTAGAGCCAGGTCTCTTTCCCCAGAAGGCTGAGGTAGATGTTGTGGAGGCAAGTGACTCAGCTGAGTCTGCTCCTCCTGTTGCTGTGTCTCTGCCTGCTGAGGAGGGGGAAAAGGCAGCATCCGCACACCTACCCACATCCCAGAAGTGAAGAGTTAGTGTGGTCTGGGATCATTCTGAGCTGGCAGATGATCCCACATAAGCTACCTGCCTGCACTGCAGAGCCAAAAGCAGCCAGGGCAAGGGAGTGAAACTCATGAGCACCACGGGGGTGCTGATGCATCTCAACAGGTACCACTTCCTTGACCTTGTCCTCCTCAGCCTGGCACCAATGGGAGTGTGCCCAAAAAGAAGTTCCCCTCTTACTCCAAAGCCCCTGTCCCCTCAGAGCAGAAGCAGGCCACCCTGGAACTGTGGGGGAAAGGTGGGCACACAGGGTGGCAGCCCTGTTCCTCTCCAAGGTGTCCCTGACTTTGGCAGCCTGAGGAAGAACCTGAACTTGGTGTGTTTGCTATTCCTAGATGGAAGGAACAGTAAATAAGCCAGAGGCTGGCAAGCAATGCAGGCAAGAAAGCCAGTCAGTGAAAATGGATATAGAGGTGTCAGGAGGTAAGGGACAGGCTGGGGTGGGGAGGCACCAAGATGTAGCAGCGTAAGTAAAAGTGGAGAGGTACCTGGGGAGTCAGATGTCCAGGAAGCTGCAGTATGTCGTAATTTCAATGTCTATATTGAGCACATGAGTTTCTGCACCTAGGAGGTTGATAAAGTGAAGTTCATAGGCTCATCTGTGAAAAGTGGTTTGTAAAATCCCTTTAAGGATCAGGCCTGAGAGATTGGAGACAAGTAGTTGAGTGTTCTTGTCTTTGATAGATTTTTGGTGTGCACAGTTGTTGCTTGGTGGGCAGTTTTTGCTTGGTGTCTCCTACATATTTTCCATCAGGGCATGTGGTGCCCTGATGGAGATATGTACTGTGAAGATATCTCCATACTGGAGATATTGTTGGCAGATTTTGCATGTCTTGTCATAGCATGGTCTGGATCCATTCAGTGCATTTTGAGCTGTAGGAAGTTGGCTTCTTATGATGAGGTTAGCAAGGTTTAGTGCTTGTTTGAAATTATAAACCACTTTTCACAAATGAGCCTATGAACTGAACTTCATCAACCTCCTAGGTACAGAAACTCATGGACTCAGTATAGACACTGGAATTCTGACACACTACAACCTGCCGGACATCTGACTCCCCAGGTACCCCTCCACTTTTACCTGCTACCTTTCCCCCTGCCCCAA